TCTCCTGAGGACAGTGAAGGGATCCCGTCTCTCCTGAGAAAGACAGACAGTCCCTGACATCACACGTCACCGGGTCCTTTTGACCAGGGGCCTGTTTGAGAGCCACGAGTTTCTCTCTCAGTCTTGTTTCTGGTCTGAGAACATTTCAGTTATGTGATTCCTGCTTTTCTGTGTCATTCACCTTCCACCCAGGTCAGGAATAAAAGTCTGTGTTCCACACTCCTCTGCTTCATCCTACCCTGGGTTTTCGTCCTCATTCTAGAACTTTCTAAGGAATAGGAGAATCTCACAGATTCCCCAGATTAGCCTGTTTTTACATTTTATGCTTCTTCCTGCCACACCAGTTGTCTTGTCCATTGTGAGGATGCTCTCATGAGGATTCTTCAGTGTCTGTGGAGGAAACACAAAATGACTTTTCTGATTTACCACCTCAGATCCCCCAAGGACACATGTGACTCACCACCCCACCTCTGAGGATGAGGTCACCCTGAGGTGCTGGGCCCTGGGCTTCTACCAGCGGACATCACCCTGACCTGGCAGCGAGATGGGGAGGACCTGACCCAGGAGATGGAGCTGGTGGAGACCAGGCCTGGGGAGATGGAACCTCCAGAAGTGGGCGGCTGTGGTGGTGCCTTCTGGAGAGGAGCAGAGATACACATGTCACGTGCAGCATGAGGGACTGCTGGAGCCCAAGTCCTGAGATGGGGTAAGGAGGAGGATGTGGGCACTGAGGCTGTTCTCAGGGCCATCAGGAGCCCTTCTGGAGCCCTTCAGAGGTCAGGATAAGGTCTGGGGCTCAGGGTATGATCTTCCCTTCCCTTCCAGTGCCCCCTCCTCAGTCCTCCATCCCCACCGCGGGCATCATTGCTGGCCTGGTTCTCCTGGAGCTGTGCCCCTGGAGCTGCGGTGGCTGCAGCTGTGATGTGGAGGAGGAAGCACTCAGGTAGGGAAAGGAGTGAGGGATCTTGTCCACTGGGGCTTCCATGTCCCAGGCAGAACTTGCCCTGCCTGTTTATTGGGAAGTGCCATCCACACACATGTGTTGCCCAGAGGGCATTTGCTCCAGTCCCCCCTCACCTCCTTTCTTCTTTTTCCCCAGTCCTGACCTGGGTCTTTAGTCCCAGTTCTGGAAACTTCCCTGTGGTGCAGGATTAGAAGATTCCTTTAGGCTTCTGACCTGACTGCTCCCTGGTCTCACATGATTTTTCTACCCACAGGGAGACAAGGAGGAAGCTACACTCAGGCTCTAGGTAAGTGTAGATCAGTGGTTTGACCCTGAGCCCCTGGGGACAGTGTAAATGGACTCCATGGGGGAGTCACCCTCATCTGTCCCTCCTGTGGTGTCATCTCTTACCAGGTTCTGTTTTGTTCTCAACCAGGCAACAACAGTGCCCAGGGCTCTGATGTGTCTCTCAGCCCCTAAAGCATCTTTTAAAATGAATGTGATGAGGGCCCTCCACGGTGGCACAGTGGGTTGAACGTAGTGCTGTGAAGCTGTCCGCAGCCTCCGCAGTGCAGGTTCGATTCCCGGCCAGCCAGGAAGACTCCCACTTGGCAGGGCAGACATCTCCTCTCTCGCCCGCTGCTTCCCTCAGCAGTGCTTTCAGTCCGTCTGTCTGTTCTGCTCCCCACTCTGGTGAATCCTGATTCACCAGATCTGGTGAATCAGGTCTCTGGTGAACCCTTTCACTCTCCCGCGACTTGGGCCTGTACCCCAGCTCTTATATAAATAAAAAAATTTAAAAAATGAATGTAATGAGGCTTCTGTTGTTCACACCCTTGACAGCACCTGGTATTGTGCAGAGTTTGCATTTTCAGTCTCTCCTAGGTGTGATGGTGTCACTGTTCTTAACTGTGATAGTGAGCATTTGTTCATATTTTCACTTTCTATGAATACAGTTGCCGTTATTATAGAAGTTTTGTACATTTTTACAGATGAGGTGCCATTCATTTATTACACTATTTTTGTCCTTATTAAAATTGGGTTATTTCTTTCTGATCATTGAGTTTTCGGCATTATTTGTAGATACAGTCCTTTGTCAGATTCGTGATTTGCAAATGTTTCCCCCAACTCTGTGAACTGAACTCCTTTACTGATGGAAAACGAACCTTATTGCCCAGACAGGAGCATGGGGATACATATATTTGGAAGAGAAAAGATAAATTGCTAGGTTTTGAGCAGATACTGGCTGATTGGGGTGTTGGGGGTGGAGGGGAATGACTTATGCATATCCTTGAGTGTTATTTAAATGTCCTTGTATGAGCATGAAATATGCTTTCTAAAGTAAATTACACTTCATTCCTCAACTTATAAAACTCTTCACACATCATGACCAAATCACGTGTTAAGACCAGACTGACACGTGGGTTACAAGTAATGGACCTGCTCGTCATAGTTGCAAAGTCATGGTTTCCCTTTGGGTTTACTCTGGTATTGTCCATTCTTGGGGTGTTGGACACGTGTAATGACCTGTGTCCATCATGAGAATATCATACAGAGGATTTTCACTGCCCATAGTGTCTTCTGTGCTCCTGTGCTCCAAGGATTCAAAAGCAAAAAGGAACCAGTGGAATCACATCAGACTAAAAAGCTACATAGTGAAGGAAGCTATCCTTAAAATGAAAAGACAATATCAAATTGGAGAAACTATTTGTACATCATCAATCCAATAAGGATTTAATATCCAAGATCTACAAAGAACTCCAAAACAAGAAAACACCTCAAAACAGAGGAGAGGAGCTAAATAGGTACTTTTCTAAAAAAGATACACATGTGGCCAATAGATATATGGATACAAGTTTATCATCATGTGCTGTCAGAAAATGCCAATTCAAACCACAATGAAGGCCTCCCCTGGTGGCGCAGCGGTTGAGCACTGGGCTGCGAAGCTGCCAGCAGCCTCTGCAAGCCAGTTTGATCCCTGGCCGCAGGGAGGGTCCCACATGGTGCAACAGACCTCACCTGCCCCTCCTGCTGCTCCCCTCAGCAGTGTATTTCTTCGTCAGCCTGCCTGTTCTGTTCCCTGCTCTGGCTCTGGTGAATTCTCTCACCCTCCTGCGCTTCTTACTGTACCCAGTGCTTGTATAAATAAATAAATAAATCTTTAAAAAATAAATAAAACCACAGTGAGTTCCCACCTCACATCTGTGAGAATGACCCATTGAAAGGTGTGGAGAAAAAGGAACTCTGGCACATGGTGGGTGGGAATGATGTCTTGTCCTGTCAGTGGGCAGAATGAGGGGTTCCCTGGACCTTCAAAACTGCACACTCTACATGGGATCTGCCATCAGCTGCATAAAGACAAAACATACACTAAAGTGTAAGACCTTCAATAGAAAAGAACTTTAATACAATTACTATAAAATAGAGAATCAGTGTGCAATAGAGAGAGAAGAAGAGAAAGAATATAGTTAGTATAGTTCCCAAGTGAAGCACCCAAAGTTACCCGTCCCCTCATGGGTCAATGCCCAGCCAAACAGGCTGGGCCCAAAGCAGGCCCACTGGGGCCCGAACGCCTGCCACAAGGCTAAGGCACCTACTGGTAGAGACCCATGGGAAAGGGTCAGGAGGGGCCAGGCAAGTCTGGAAGGAAAAGAACAAAATCTAAATCCATGACAAGATAACAGCGGTCATTGTCAGCCTCCCCATGAGTCTCTCACCCATGTTTTTAATCTTTCACATGTCTCTTTCCATGTCCCCAACTCCATGGCACAAGTCCAAGTGAGAAGCAAGGCGTGGTTTCTTCTTCACATGTCTCTCTGCTCCATGCACCTCCTCAGTCTCCTTTCCCCATCTTGCTCCATGTCTTCCTCCTCTTCCTTAGCTTCTCATCCCTGCTCAGCCCCACCTTTCCTTAGGCGGGGCGGTAACTTGGTACCTCCGTTTTCTATGGATAGCACATTGGTCCTGCCCCTATGGGGAAAAAAAAAAATGAAGGTTCCTCAAAATAGACCTGTCATATGGTCAAGGATCCCATTCCATGGTATTTATCCAAAGAAGTTAAAACACTAATTCCAAGGAATGTGCGCCTCCTACAGTCACTGCGGCACTGTCTACTATAACCAAGCTATGGAGACAACCTAAGTGCCCAACGGCAGATGAGGGGATAAAGAACACAAGCTATACACACTATGGAATACTACTCAGCTGTGAAAAAGATGAAATATTGAATTTGCAACAACATGATAGATATGGATGGGATTATGCTAAGTGAAATAAATTTGAAGGAAAAAGTTATATACAGATGATTTCATTCATATTTGGAATATAAAGAAACAAAGTTGGGACAGATGAAACTAACCAAAAACATATTCTATATATATGACTGTAGAATTGAAGCTATGGCTGGGGGTAAGAGTAGGAAACAAAGTAGGAAGAGGGCCCGATGGACTGTAGTGAAGACTACGGGTGCCCTTAGGGTGGGTGTGATGTGGTAACAAACATCTGAAGAGATGTGACCCTTGCCTCTGAACACATGCAGTGTGTAAACCAATGCTAACCTCAACTGAATAATACAATGAGGGGGAAAAGAAAAGAAAAAGGTAAATTGTCTCCTCTATTGGTCACTGACCTCAGGACTTGGCCTTCGCCTCCTCACTGCCATGCAGGGTGAGGGGCTGGTTGCCCACAAGGGCAGAGGCAGGAGGTGCAGGGACTCCTGGGGCTGCCCAGGCACTGCTGAGTAGAGACACTGCAGAGAGGGCGGCTCTGAGGGGACCAGAGACAGAGGGTCAGAGTACCCCAGTGCTGAGTGAGGGTCTGGTTCCCAAGGAGAGGGGAATGTGCGCATGTGTGTGTGTGTGTGTGTGCGCGTGTGTGTGTGTAACAAGAATGACAGGGTACACAATATAAAATGATGGGAAGTCAATTAACATCAAGCCCCAGAATAAAGTAATTCAAATTTCACACAGTGTAAAGAGTGTCAGAACAACACCCCAATAAATACAGTTCCATGGAGAAGGAGCTTCTGAGTGGGACTGAAAAAGCATTAGACCTGCAGAAGAGGAGGAGGTTTATGGTTGGTTTGAGGTGTAAGGAGCTGGGCGGGACCCCTCCTCCTGTCCTGGCCCCTGCTAGGATGTGGTGGCATCTTCACCCCTGACAGCTCACTCATTACCCGAGTGTTAACATTATCAATGATCCACTGCATTCCCAAGATGTCCTCCTGAAAGCATCCCCATTGCATAGTCCCAGACTCTCTGCCTCAATCCCACCCCACTGCAATTCTCCAGGGTCTCACCTATAGGGGCGGAGATACACTTCAGAGCACAGGGACTGTGGCTGCCTGGGTGAGAGATGAGACCACAGGAGAAACTGATGAGAGTGACTCTCTCATGGGCTCCATCTACACCATTCCCAGGGCTCAGGGATCCAAGCCTTGACCACACTTACTTGCAGCCTGAGTGTAGCTTCCTCCTTGTCCTCCTGTGGGAAGAAGCATCAGGTGAGACCAGGGAGTAGTCAGGTCAGAAGTCCTAAAGGAATCTTCTAATCCTGCAGAACAGGGAAGTTTCCAGAACTGGGACTAAAGACCCAGGTCAGGACTGGGAAAAATGAGGAAAGGAGATGAAGGGGGACTGGACCAAATGCCCTCTGGGCAACACCCGTGTGTGTGGATGGTACTTCCCATTAACCAGGCAGGGCAAGTTCTCCCTGGGACATGAAAGCCCCCAGTGGACAAGATCCCCCACTCCCTTCCCTACCTGAGCACTTCTTCTAGCCCCTCACACATGAAGCCACCTTGTGTCCAATGAGCACCTCTAAAGAAAACCGAGCTGGAAATGAGGACCACGGCAAGGATGGAGAACTGAGGAGGTGGCACTGGAAGGGAAGGGAAGGTCAGACCCTGAACCTGAGGCCTTGGTCTGACTCTCTGAAGGTCTCCAGAAAGGCTTCTGATGGCCCCGAGTCAGCCTCTGTGCCCACATTTCCCTTCATACCCCATCTCAGGACTAGGGGTGCTATCAACCCCTCATGCTGCACATGGCATGTGTATCTCTGCTCCTCTCCAGAAGGCACCTCCACAGCTGCCCACTTCTGGAAGTTTCCAGTCCCCACTGCCCCCCCGCCTGGTGTTCACCAGCTCTGTGTCCTGGGTCAGGTCCTCCCCAACTCGCTGCCAGGTCAGGGTGATGTCATCAGGGTAGAAGCCCAAGGCCCAGCACCTCGGGGTGACCTCATGCTCAGAGATGGGGTGATGGGTCACATATGGCGATTGGGGGGGCCTGAGTAGGAAGAAATGGAATTTTAATGCTTTTTGTTTCCTCCATGGACACTGAAGCAGCCTCATGTGACCATCCTCCAGTGGAGAGAACAGTGTAGATGGAGGGAGGGGCACACACCCCAGAAACCAGCCTGGTCTGGGAGTCTGGGATAGTAGGTGAGAGCCCAGGGTGGGATGCAGGTCTCTGAGCATTTTGTTGCTGACCTGGGTGGAGGGTGATGACACAGACAGGCAGGAGTGAGATCTCCAAAAATGCTCTGACCAAAAAACAAGATCTCGAGAGAGAAACTCATTGCTCCTAAGATGGCGCCGGTCAAAAGGATCCAGTGAAGGGTGATTTCATGGGTGGTCTCCCCTCTTTCTCAGGAGGAACTGGATTCCTTAACTGTCCTTCAGAAAAAGTAGGAGCCTCTGGGCCAGTCTCCATCCCAGAGCTGGAAAACGTGGCCGACAGCTCCCTCTCTGGCCAGAAGGGGGCGCTTCCTCACCATGATTCCATTTCCCTGCGGGGTGCGCGCCTCAGGGAGATCAAAGGCCGCAGCCCTCTCACCCCTGAGCTGCGGCGCCTCCTTCCCCATCCCAGGAGTCTGGGGGCCCCTCCACGCACCCGCCCCCTGGGCTGCTCCCGTCCTGCTCTGCCCGACCTTCCCCCTCACCTTACTTGGTTCTTTAGAGAGTGTAAGGGCAGGAGCAGGGCACAGCGCATGTTTTCTGATCCCATGCAGACCGGGTAAAGGAGGAGTCAGAGTCCTCAGTGGTTTTGCAGTTTTTTTATTGGGGTTCACCAGGCATATGGCAGGCAGGGGTGAAGCAAATCTTCACTTTATCTGGGCTCTCTGGTGATCTCGGCTTCTCTTCCGGCTTCAGCTTCGGCTTCTACTGCTGCTGCTGGCGGCCCCGTGACGCCGCCCTTAAAAGCACAGTATTAGCTCAGCTGAATCCCATCTACTTATGCCCACACCCTACTCCAGGTGCCCGCCATCAGGCATGCATTCAGGACAAGGATCCATCATCTATCCTGATGGCGGAAGAGCAGAAAAGCCTGATATTTTCTTTACCCTACAGAGACAGAGACAGGATGCTGTGTGCCTGGCGGAGTGTGCTCTTCCTGACCAGCCGCCTGTTAGGGGCTTTCCTCACCTTGGACGTTGGCGGTGCCAAGCTTCTTGGGGACTAGGCATGCGCTAGTGGGCTCAGCAGCAGGGTTCTGGGCAGGTGCTCAGGGCTTCGCCCGCCATTCGTTGCGTGCCTCCACCAGCCGCAAAACCAACTCTTGCAGCTCTAACAGCTTCACCTGGAAGCAGAGATGCTCAGAAGCCTGCCCTGCCCCCAGCCGCACCACCATGGAGCCAGAGCTCTGACTACCTTCATCTCCTCTTTGTCCTGGGCCAGCTGCCTTATGGACTCCTCCTTCTCTTGGTGCTCCTCCCTCATCACTGCTCTCTGGTACTGGTAGAGAGCGATGTATTCTCCTAGGGGAGGGCACGCAGACAGCTCAGCTGCTGGGGTCTCCCCAGCCTCTGCATAGCACCCCAGCTGCAGGGCACAAGCCTCCCCGCTCACCGATGGTGACAGTCTCTCCAGACATCTGGATACATCGATGCTCCAGCTCCTCCATCCAGTCCTGTAAGCCCACTTTCTCCTGCATGAGCTCGATAAATTGGCCCTCGGCCAGACAGCGGGCTCAGGGGCTCAGCAGTGCCGGCCTGCCCAGCACCCAGCCCGCCCAGCCCTCCGGAAAACCACACTGTAGGGTAAGATAAAACTATCAGGCTTTTCTGCCCTCCCGCCTTTAGGATAGATGAGGGAACCCTGTGGTCTGAATGCAAGCCTGATGCAGGCACCTGGAGTAGGGTGTGGGCATATGTAGATGGGATTCACCTGGGCTAAGACCGGGCTTTTAAGGGTGGCATTCACAGCAAAAGCAGAGAAACGTAAGCAGAACCTAGAGAGCAGAGCAGCAGAGACCACCAGAGAACGCCAGAGAGCCCAGAAAGAGTGAAGACTTGCTGGGGGCTGGGAGGCCTGCCAGCCTCCTGACCCCCTAGCACCCCTACCTGCCATGTATCCAGTAAATCCCAATAAAAGCCTGCAAAAGCCACTGAGGCTTCCAGGACTCTCTTCTCCTGGACCCAGTCTGCTGGATCAGAAAACTTGCCCCGTGTCCATTCCCTCCTCTCTTACAATTGGTGTAAGTCAGCAAGATGATCCATGCAGACCGGTATGGAGCCCTCCGAAGACCGGGAGGGACTGAGGAGCAGCAGACAGTGTTTGCCTGTGACAGCGCTGGACGTGTCATGGCGGGACAGGGGAAGGGCAAAGTCCGGGAGCTGCGGGATGAGACCTCGCCTGGAGGAGGAGATGCCCGAGAGGACCAGCCAACAATCCCCGCCGAGGCAGCAAGAATCATCGGGGGAGAAAGGACCACGACTCAGAGCTCCCCAGTGTGGACAAAGGGAAAAGCCGATGAACTTGGACTAATGGACTAACAATCCCGCCAGAAGGGGGAGGACCTTGGAAAGTTTGATATGTTTTGGGGACCCTGAGGAAGGATGGGATTGTCCACCCCCAGAGATGGGAGTCTGGGGGTGTCAGTGGGCCTTGGTGGCCAAAGGCAGCCGGTGTACTGCCCAGCAGCTAAGCAGAGGAGAAAAGCCAACTGAGAAGGCAAAAGCTGGTGCTAAGTTCGGGAAGCCCTGAGCGGCTGTTACGCACTACGTAAGCTAAAGGCCAGTGAGTCTTTTAAAATCACCTGTGGGTGATGCCCTGCTCATAGTTGAGGGTGAGGAGCTGAGGAGCCCATCTTTGGGGGATGGGTAGGGAACGTGGCTTGTGGTGGAGCCCACAGCCAAAGAGGGGACCCAAGAGAGGCTGCATGTGGACTTGTATCCACGGATCCCCGACCCATGTGCTTGTGCAGTGGGTTGGCCTGAGTGCAGGGGCCTGCATGCTGGAGCGTTGGAGCGACCACAGATAGAAAACCCTGAGGGATGGGCGATTACACCCAAAGAGTACAGAATTGCCAACCCAAGAGTGAGTGCATCCTGGGGGTGGATGCGGTGTGTGGCTTGTGGCCGAGACTGCAGCCGGAGGGGGCCGGGAGGCCTGATGGCTCCTGGCGTGTGACGGCTGATGCCTGAGTGGTTCCCTCCCTTGCATGAGCCGTGCCTTCGGCAGCGGAAGTGGTGGATCATCTACTGGTGCCAATAATTGTCTTTTGCCACTAGGTTGATGCCCTGCCTGGACTTATTTGTGTTCTGTTATATTTCATTGTGATATATTTCATTTGCTTTTGTGGGCCATGGCTGCAGTGTTCCTATTCGTCAAGAGAAACGTGTGTATCACTTGTATAGACTGTCTGGCAGAAAACCCTGAGGGGTGGATTGTAGGGTAAGGTAAAAGTATCAGGCTTTTCTGCTCTCCCGCCCATAGGATGGATGATGGAACCCTGTGGTCCCGAATGCATGCCTGATGCGGGCACCTGGAGTAGGGTGTGGGCATAGGTAGATGGGATTCACCTGGGCTAAGATGGGCTTTTAAGGGTGGCGTCATGGGGACGCCAGCAGAAGCAGAGAAGCAGAAGCAGAACCGAGAGAGCAGAGCAGCAGAGACCACCAGAGAACGCCAGAGAGCCCGGAAAGAGTGAAGACTTGCTGTGGGCTGGGAGGCCTGTCAGCCTCCTGGCCCCTAGCCCCCCTACCTGCCATGTATCTGGTAAATCCCAATAAAGTCTGCAAAATTCACTGAGGCTTCCAGGACTCACTTCTCCTTTACCCGGTCTGCTGGATCAGAAAACCTGCCCTGTGGCCATTCCTTCCTGCCTTACACACACTCACCTGCAGTTTCTTCTTCTCACCAGGCTCCCTGAAGGGCCTGGTGGGTCTCCCCAGGCACACTTTCCCCCCGGGGGCTGGGGCCTCCATCTTCTCAGTCTCCTGGTCCCATGGGGCTACCTGCTGAGCCAGGAGCCAGCAGAGCAGCTTTTGCTCCTTTAGCTGCCTGTGTAGCCGCGCCTGTTCTTCCTCAGCACTGGCCAAGGCCAAGTTACAAAATGCCACCTGTGGGCCAGAGGTGCAGGGTGCCCCTGTGGGCCCGGCAGGAGGTTGGGAGGCACACCTCTCAGGGCCTCCTGGGCACACCTGAGATTCGAGGATGGTGTTGTGTCTACCCACTGGCTCCCAGCAGAGGTGGGTGAAAGCTTAATCAAAGGGAGGGGAACCAAGAAGAAGGGTGTGCTGGTGGGAGGGGGAAGGTGGGGCAGGGAAGGGGCTCCAGGGCCGAGCTCACCATGGCCTCGCAGCTGTCTAGATCGTCCGGGATGCTTAGTTTTGTCAGGGGACCCTTGTCCTCCTCTTCCTCCTCCTCTTCACCGTTCAGTCCATTTACTGTTGGGGGGGGGCAGCCAGAGGGGCTCAGAGAACCCCTGGGTTCTGAAGCAGCCCTGAAAGCCAGCAAGCTCTGCCCCCTCCTCTCTGTGCAACCCCGCGCCAGCAAGTCCCCAAAGGAGAAGGATCCAAGTTGTCCTAAGGGTGGCTTCCATCTCTTTGGAGTGCTCCTTTAGGGGTGTCGGAAACTGTTCACCAGACTGAGACTGGCACTGGAGACAACACTCCACCAGAGTGTTGATGCTGTGTTGCTGGGCACTGTCCCTTACTGTTCCCTCCCTCTGTATTTACTTAGTTCCAACAGGGAATCAGCTAGTTGGTGATTTTGTTCTGGTCATGAGGTGGCACCAGAGACCTGTCCTTGCTGACCTTTGCTTTTTCCCAGTGGTTCTCAGCTGGCCTTAGACTATTTGTAGGTCTCCGTGGAATCCTTGTCTTCCTCTGATGGCGCCCGGAGCCGCTCGATCACCTCTGTGGTGATTTCTTCACCGTTCTCCACAGTTCCCATTTGTGGGGTGCGGTGCCTGAAATAGTTCCTCTCTACTCAGTGTCCCACTTGATCTGTAGTTCGTTCTTGCAGTTTTTTTTTTTTTTTCCCTCCTTTCCGTTGGTCGGAGAGAGCCTACTCAGTGGGTGGGGGAGGGTAGCAGGGTTCTGACTCTTTCCCTTTTTTAAAAAAAGAAATAATAAAACTTCTCTTTGGCAGAGACAAAAAGTCTCTGTCTTGTGGGGAAACTCACTGTGTATGTGAAAGGGGGAATCTGGTGAAACTTTTCTCAGACGTGACCCAAGAACCCCAACTGTGAACCCAACACCTCTCCAAAATATCACTCCTCACCAATGTCAACGTTATAAAAACAAGCAAAGTCAGAGAAACAGTCAGCAAGAGGCACATCGAGGAGAACTGGCTGTAACTGAGTGAGGCAATTTGGATTATGGAACATAAAATGTACATTAGGAAAAACTAATGAAATAAAGCATGGAGTTTGGTAATTGTGTCAACATTGCTTCATTAGCTGTAAAAAAAAAAAAGACAACTGTATTCATGTAAGATGTTCACAAAGTGGAAATGGTGTGGGATGAATAAGAACTGTACTATCTTTGCAACTTTTCTGTAAATTTAACAGTATTCATTAAATGTTATGTTTTTTTTTTTAAGTCCTCAATACTAAATAGGTTGTAAAAGGAAAAAATGATCTACTTTCCTGTTTCCCCAGGTTTTGTTATCCAGAGGCTGGAGAGAGGGGTCCTGGGGAGAAAAGCTGGAAACCTCACACCCAGAGCATTCCCCCGAGTCTCCTCTCCTCTGAGCCCTGCTTCTCTGACTCCTCACAGAGCATCTCACCACCAGGACGCCGCCCTCCAGGACCCCCAACTCTGCCCATCTCAGAACCGGCCCTGTCCGGGCAGCTCCACCAGAATCCGAAACACTCCACCAGAATCGGGAAACAGTCAAACAACCCTTTTTATACCGGGGCTGCCCTGTAACAGTTTGGCGCAGTAAAGAAAAGGGGAGCCAAGCTAAACTTTCTCAAAGGAAGGGAAAATTCATTGCGCCCCCAGGCAAGCGTCGTACCCAAGATGGGTGTCCCTGAAATCGTGCCCGTTGTGGGGGGAGATGTCATTTCATAGGGTGAGGAGAGGTTAGGCAGGAAAACTGGGTTGGCAGGGGGGAAACAGGCTTAGGGGGAACTAAGTTGTTTTTTCGTGGAGCCGAGTTGTTTTCTCCTGCTTATGGCTTCAGTTTCGGTTTGATGGAATCAGGGGTACTGGTGTCAGGGCCATCCTGTTGTTTGTATGTGGGCTTCCCCATTCCTGGCCCCTGCATCAACCTTTCATACCAGCCTTTTGTTGAAAAGGGGAAATGGTTCTCTCTTTGGCTACTTCCTGCTGGCCAGGGGCGAAGACCAGGGTGGGCGCTCAGGCCTGGTTATGAGACAGTCTTTGCAGCGCGAGGATATGGGTGGAGAAGGAGTTGGTTAAAGGTGGTATAGGACAGTTCTTGGATCCGGTGTTGGATGAAATGGAGTAAGCATGGGGCAAAAAGAAAAAATGAGGAGATTAGGATAAGAAGCCCTATGAGTGGTAATACCTGGTCCGAGGCTGTGCTGATCTGGAATTGCTGGGCATAGACAGAAGAACTGGAAGTGGCTTGAAGAGATGGAATTAGAAACAGAGGAAGGAGAGGGGCCTCCCCGGTGGTGCAGAGGTTGACAGTTGAGCGCTGGGTTGTGAAGCTGCCCACAGCCTCTACAGCACTGGTTCAATCCCTGGCCTCAAGGCGAGGGTCCCACATGGCGGGCAGACCTCTCCTGCCGCCCACTGCTCCCCTCAGCAGTGTGCTTCGTCAAGTCTGCCTGTTCTGCTCTTCGCTTTGTCTCTGGTGAGTTCTCTCACCCTCCTGTGTTTCTGACTGTACCCAGTGCTTGCATAAATAAATCTTTAAAAACAAAAAAAAAAAAGAAACAGAGGAAGGAGAATCAGAGGGCCTCTACTCTATAGGCTGAGTGGGATGTGGACCAGGGATGCATTGATGCAAACCCGAGTTGGGCCCATGTGC